TGAGAGCCATCTTATAATATGAAACCATGTACAGGAAGTACCAGATAGGCATGATGCAAGACTTTATACAGTGATCAGAGGTGTGCTGCAGAATTTTCTAGCCATCAAAGTCAAAAGGAAACACGTCAGTTTAGCCTTCAGATTTCTTCCTATTGCTGAAGACAAATTTCCCCCACGGATCTTCCTGAAGGAGCCATTGGGGCGGCAGGTGGGGTGGTGGAGCAATGGTCTCAGGGCAGATGGTTGTCTGCGCAGCCCAGAGCACTTTTTTGACTTGTATTTGAGGTTTGTAGATGTAATAACCAGCAGTAGCTATAAGTTTTTGAACTCCTATTATGTATCAGGCATTGTGCCAGGCGATTTTCTTTCATTTAATCTTCAGTACATTCCTGCTCCATAGATAACTACTTTCCCCCTTTTTCAGAAAGGTGAGGAAATTGAAATTCAGAAAAGTAACTTGCTGAAGTTATGCAGCTTGTTTGTACTCAGGGTGCTAAAATATTTCACATCTGGATAAGTGATTATTATGTTTTGTATGGGAGTATGTGTTATATTTATTTTCTTTTGAAAAAAAAAGACTTTGGCTTGTCTTTAGATCATTGTCTGACTGGAGCTGTGATCGCTTTGGTGAGAATAGGATGTGGGCCATGGTTTGTGATGAGCCTTTGTCTGTGCTACCTGTTCATCATTGTGCTGTTATTTTCATTGCACTTTGCCATTTTTTCCAGGAATTTACACATTTATTGGGAATAAAGGAAACTATATAATTGCAATTAAATTGATAACAAAAAACACAATTACTTAATATGTCTTGGTGTCTACATTAAGACTACCTTCCTTACTAATTATCTTCTGATTGATTTGATTGCTATACCTCTATTATCTACAAAGATTAAATCAAAATGGCAAAAATTAGTGATATTTTAATTTTATTTAATAGAGTTTTTGCATAATTTTATATACAATTCATGGTTTCATATAGAAAATGATTTCTTTATAATAAGATATAGATTATTTTCAGTATTATTAGAGATTTTACTGTTTAAGTGGGTTACAAGTTTTGTTGCCTTTAATCTTATATTGAAATGTAAATCCCTGTGTCTGTAGTATATTATACCTGGTAATATTTTCATGATTGCTGCACGTTGCCGTTTTTGGATTGCATTCTTTTTTATTTTAATACAGAGAGCAAAGGCGCAGCAGGAAGATAAAGCTGGTTTGTTTGGGAATGCAGTGACAAATGAAGCCAGTGAAAGAAGAGCTATGATAACTCCTGCTCTCCGAGAGGCCCTTACTAAGCAAGGTGACAATTTCAGGAATTGTTATAACCTACACTTTTCTGTATTCTGGGTGAATGCCTAAAAGAGGAAGCGTGAAATAGGGCTTGCCAAGAGGAAAGTGGGTGATGTGCTCCTTTTCCAGTTGGCCTGGCAGTGTGCTATGGAGCCCGGTTTAGCCTGCTAAGGCATCACCACCTCATTTCTGTGGGTGACTGTGTGTTGGCCGCCTGGGCCAGCATGGTTCTCTTTGCTTGGTTTCTGGGGTGTTAGCCTCAGTGTGGCTCAGGGATGTGGACAGAAGGTGCCATCACCGGCTTCTTTACAAGTCACTGTTTATTAAGGGAAATGATTAAATGCAGAAAAAACGTATACTGATATTACGCTTTTATGTCCAAGTATATCTGAAGTTTTTGTGGTTATACCTTATCAAGGAGGCTGTAGTTGAATATTCAAATAATATAGGTTTTCTGTAGAAGAAAGAGGTGAATTGGGAGTCAGTAGACTGACTTCTCTCCCTCCTTCTTTATGTATTGAGAACCTTTTATGTGACAGTTACGGCAATGCAGAGAAACATAAGACACAGTAGCTCTTTCAAGGAACTGTCAGCCTGTTAGAGGAGACAGGATAAGAATATACAGATTAAAAAATATATATATATATAAATATAAATATATAAATATAATATATGTTTATAAATATTATATATACATACTGTTGTATATATAAAATCTGTCCTTTTATTAGGATATTAGACTATTTAAAGTGATTTTCTGGTAGGTTTAAATCTATCATCTTGCTGTTTATTTTCTGCTTGTGTTGTGTTCTTTGATTTTCTTTTTCCCATTTTTCTGCCTTCTTTTAAATTATTGTTATTATTATTTTGCCATCTGGATGTGGCCTCTTCTTTATATCCTTAGTTATAGGGGTTCTGTTCAGCTAGTCTTTAGATGATTCTTGAGGTTGACTGTTGTATAATTTGGTTGTAATTTTGGTGTGATCTTGGGAGGCAGCGGGCACAGTGTTTACCTAGTCTGCCTCTTGGACCTTCTCCTCTAGATTAATTTTTTTATAATTCTGTTTTATATCATTTGTTGGTTTATTAGCTATTGCACTGTTTTGCTAATTAGTGGTTGCTNTGTTGAAAACTGGTCATTTAAAAACTGAGGTCTGACAAGTGAGTGGTACATAGTGGATTCCTGTATTAGAGAAACAGGAAACTGCAGAAGTGGGGTTAAATTGCAAGCAGAAACAGTTTTAATTAGACCTGGAGAAGACTTTAATATTGAAAGCTGCCTGATGTAAAATCAGTTACTGAAAGATGTGAGATCTGCTTTTCTAGAGCTAGAAACAACTGTTGGGTGGTTCTGAGGCATCTGTTCATTTATTTGTCCATTTACTGACTGCCTGCCCTGTGCTGGAATGGCACCAGATGTGGATAGGCTGACTGTTAGAAATGACCTCTAAAGAACCTAGTGATTATGTATTCAAAGTTTTCTGCATGAATTGATAAGGGTGGGAATCATCTGATGGTAAACAAGGATCAGTAAAATAAACAAGCAAACATTTAAATAGACAAACAATTAGAAACACTATTTTTCCCCCAGAAGAAATGCGTGCTGTGGTAATGAAAAGCTTGTTTGAGCACCTGTTTGGTACTTATCCACCTAGGTGGCATTTTACCTTAAAATCTTCGACAAATCACTTTTTTGCCCTATTTTTATCCTAGGCAATTTTGGAGTGGTACTGTGGTTTGTGGGATGATGGTGTGAAAATGAGTTAGGTATAATAATATTGTATAATGTCTTTTTTTAAGTATCACTTTTTGCTCCCATTATTGCATAAGATTCATATAGTCCTGTCTGTTTATAAAGAACTTTTCATTTCTGTATAGTCATTTTTCCACATGCCTAGGAAGTTAGGTTATAATTGGCTTCTCTTTTTGCGTGTCGGGAAACAGCAGCTTGGAGAGGGTAAGCGTTTTCTTTCAAGGCAAGTGTTTTGGGTTTGGGAGTTGGGAAAGGGTGGAAGCACAGGTTGGAGACAGGCCAACCATTCAGTTTGGCACAATTATACATGTGCTCTAGGAGAAACCAGGGCTTTGGGCAAAAGTAGTGGCGTTGCACTACTTTTGGAGAAAACCAGTAGTTGGGAATTAAAGCCTTAGAACTTGGTCACCCATCATCAGATGGGGCTTACAGGAGTGGTAGGAATAAAATTTGACCAATTCTGGGATCTTCATTTATTTCTTCTTAGGCTGTGTAAGAGCCATAAGAACATAAAAATACATAGGTTCCGTGTAGTCGTTATATTGTTATAGTCTATGCAAACAGAAAAAACAATGTCTGCAGCTAGGAGATTAGAATTAGAATTTGAATGGTGCTTTGCACTTCCTCAGGGAGCATTGTAAACCATTGTATTTCTTTTCAGAAATGAAGTTGC